AACGTAGCGAATTTGGGGTTTCGCCAGAGTTTGTAAAATGTTGTAAAAGGTTGCAAGAAAGATCGCAAACAGTTTTCTTTGTTATAAACAGTTTCTCTTGTTGCAAAGAAATTTTGAACATGTTCAAAATTTCTTTGCGAATTTATTTTTCCGCAAACAGTTGCAGGCGTTTGCAAAACAGTCGTTAGCGTTTGCAAAACAGTCGTAAGCCTTTGCAAACGGTTGTTAAACGGTTTTGCTCTTTGTTTTCGTCAGTTCTCTGTGTTTCGCCAAAGCTAGCGACCACATTACCATATGGTTCCTTTATAAAATCGACCCATTGAGTACTAGTAGTTAGCAACAGGTCTCAAACGTTCACAAATAGTGGCAAAGGATTGGCAAATAGTTGCTAATCTTCGCAAAAGTTGTCGCTAACATTTGTTTACAGTCACTAATAGTCGCCAACTGCCTTTCGCAAACACTTTCGGAGACATTCGCTTTGACTTAATGTCGCTGATTTTCGCCAACATTCGTCAGAAAAGTTGGCGAATCCAAATTCGCAACGTTCGCATGCAAGCATTCGCTGCTCAGTGAGATAGGCCCTTTAAGAGACAGGCAACTCTTTATTCATTGCGTCACATGATTCCGAACTGATTATGCAGATGATTTGAGATCGTAACTGTTTTGGTTAGCCAAAATCGACAGAGAATGAATCCTTCATTGGGTCAGAATTCGAGGGGAGCCTGCTATTCAAACATGTGTTCGGATTCTTATGAAAATACCCTCTGGGTGGCCAAAACAAAAGCTGATGAGACATTTTTGCGAAGAAACAGGCAATACTAGGCTATATTGTAATATCTGTATTGGGTCTGTTTTTTCAAAGTGGGTGATGGGGGAGGCTATTAGGTAGAGCATAGCGTATATTGACGTGGGGTCAGGGGCGGAGCCTCCAGAAGCTCAAGGGATATGGGTATTAAATTACGGTCAGATGAGCATATTGTCATACCTTATTCTTGAAACTGGCAGGTTACTATTTGGGGTGGGGTCCAGGGGCAGAGCACCCAGAAGCTCAGGGGTTTAAGACAATTCATTACCGTCAGATGAGCTTATTTTGATACCTTATTTGTGACATAACTGGTAGGTCACTAATTGGCGTGGGGTCCAGGGGACGGAGCTCAGGGGTTTTGGGCAATAAATAACCCCCGAAATTACCATCAGATGAGCATCCAGGGGCCCACCTTAGGGCCATTGGTTGGGTCCGGGGGCAGAGCCCCCGGAAGTTCACGGGTTTTAGACATGTAATTACAGTCAAATGAGCATATTTTGTTACTTTATTTGTAATTGGCGTGGGGTCCAAGGGGTGGAGACCCCCGGAAGCTCACGGGTTTTAGGCGCTTAATTACGGTCAGATGATCATATTTTGGTCTTCATACGTTCCCTGAGATGCCACTCTCCACCCAGGTGTTAAATGGGTACCCAGTAGGATGCGAAAGCTAATGTGGTTAGATTAGCAAGTGTGCGCTTGTAAAAATGACGCCTGGCTGGAATGCTCCCCAGGGAGTGGAGAATGTGCATACATTGTGTGCGGGTAAGCCTGAATCCAATGACCGGGGTAATAATATACTTATCTGTAAAGCGCTTTGAGAGGGCTTCCGGTCCTGAGAAGCGCTATATAAGAACGAGCTATTATTATTATTATTATCTAAAAAAACAGTGGCATATCCATAATTGTAAAATTATAGGGAACCTCGTGACGCCCCCCTCAAATGAGAATGGGGTGTTTTCTTTAGACTGATGATGAAAATGTCCAGCTATTCTTCTGCAGGTGGTGGCTACGGGGCCAGGTGCCCCATCTGATAGCAAAGAAAGAGACAATTAAGGATATATCTATATAATATATATATATATATAGAGAGAGAGAGAGAGAGAGAGAGAGAGATGGAAAAAAAAGAAAGAGAGAAAGAGAGAAATAGAGAGAGAGAGAGAGAGAGAGAGAGAGAGAAATGGAAAAGGTGAAAGGCAACGTGTATAGAAGATAGAAGATGATACTTCATAACATGATTTTCAGTAATGCTACCATGTGTTCAGCTCGAACCAATGATTGCTTCCCCCAAAGAAAATGTCCCCATCTCCCCAAAGACGGGTGCAGCATCTTGCACCCCCATCCGGAACCAGAAATTTAAACTCTCAATCCGACGATGTATTAACCAAGGTTCACGGTTTATCCAAGTGCTTCGCTGCTATAAACATGATGAAAGACCATCAGAATTAAGAAAAGGATACCAACTTGACCAAAAATAACGATCTGGTTTCAAACTATATGAGGGCGGATGTGCAATGTATAGTGAAACTACGATTTGGGTGTTATACTAATTTGTACTTAGAAAATGATTATGCAGCACTTCAGTGTAATATCAAATAATTGTCATTATAACATTGAAATGCTAAAAATAATGGCATACACACTGGAGGCTAACTACATGTACTCAGATTGTTTAACATGCTGATATTAAAGATGTTCATAACATGTCACCATAATTATATTTAAGAGATCGTTATCAGTGTGTATATTATGCGTCAGTCAGCCTGTAATCAGGGTAATTGACGAAAGTTCAATGAGCACATTGCAAATATGCGTTCAGATACGATACACATCACTACGTATGCAGTAGCGGTTCATTGGGGGGGGGGGGGGGGCTAGCTCAAGCGCCTCGAATATATGAAAGTTTGCTCAAGCGAGGATCTAATATAGAGGGCAGCACACGGACGTACGCACGGGAGCGTAATACCCATTGGCTCAGTGTTACAGTGATCGGGAGTGATCGCCAAGTTGCTTACTTCACAAACGACTATATACCCACGCTTGAGCAACTTTAAATCCTCTTAAAAGTTTCGAGGGCGCATGAATGCAGGAATTACCGAATCCACCGAAAACCAAATAAAGCCCTCCAACCACCAAACATAAAAAAAGTCTTCTAGAACCGCTCCTGGTTAATATGATTTCTGTGCGTCATCTTTTCACTCTCAAACAATACGGGTGACAAGATCAGTATAAACACTAGTTGATTAAGTCTTTTTATTTATTTATTCGGCAGAAATTAATGATTAATCTACTGTGTTGCACTTATTTGAATTCTGATAGTGACCTGTTTCAGTTGTGTGTTCGAAAAGGAAGAAAATGTTTTGACAGAAAAGTAATATTTTTGGGGAATGGGAGTTCGTTCGTTCGTGTCTCCTTAGGTCAAGATTAATGTATCTTGATCTTCGGAGTAAAATATATCATTAAATTACTATCAAAGGAGAGCTTGAAAAGTGCACTCCAAATTGATTAAAATATATCCATTTCTTCTTGAGTTGTAAACATACCGCGGGAATATTCTAGGCCAGGAGGGAGGGAGGGGGGGGGGGGGGGGGGGGGGGGGTGGAGGGGAGGGGGGGAGGGGGAGGGGGGGGTGTTACCGGGGCTTGTTTTAAAGGGACAGGAGTCATCATTCATATGAGATATAGACTAAAGAAACATATTTCCATAGTATTTTGGGACTGTGTGAGAAGTCTTATTAAAAGGAACCTTTACTATTGAAACACGAAAAGTTCCCAAATCGGTATGAATACATTTGATTTGTTAGAACAATTTGATTTGCTGCTGAGAGAATTCACCATCTCATTGTTTACTCTAATTCGCTATACCACTTACCTGCTTACACTGAATGTAGAAGTTATGTAACTATACAGAAATAGTTAATAAACAACAAAAACAATTAAACACAAATGCATCATCTAATTAGGCCTCATATAGCTCCGTTTAGTCTCATTTGACAACTCCCCCTATCGTCAAAGTCCAGCAGCCTATAAACATGTTAGCCTATGGACTTTTACCCCCCCCCCCCCCAAGAAAAAAAAAAATCGTTTCAAATTCATTTTTTGTTTAAACGAAAAGCACACCCACCCCGACGTACGTTATCACTAGCTCTTTCATTGGAACCCTTAATGTCCCATTGACTTTTGAAAGTTTACCCACCGTAATTTGATCATAATAGGTCGCCAACTCGCCATTGCCTATATAACACAAGTGCAACAAGTCGAACTTTGGACGCAATTTACCACTCGATTGTAAGGTTAAAAGTCAAGCACACGAAGGATAACAAGCATGAATTATCATAATCAGTTCTGATTTGTTCATTATGTCCATGTCAGCCTACCCCCCCCCCCCCCCACCGTAATTTTTCCATTTAGTATAGGCAAGCATTTTGCCGAGGTAAGCAAAAACATGAATATTTATGAACATGGACTATTCGATCATTTACAGAGGGGTGCAATTGTGCACCCCATCAAACTCCCCTACTTTCAGTCAAGTATTTCATTGCATTATGTAGTTTGGTAGGTTTATTTTACTAACTGTTTAATTATCAGATATTAATGATAGTTTAAAGATATGAAAAAGGTTCTTGGATTTTATATTTAGCAAAACAATCTCAGATACAAAATCACTATCAAGTGTCGTCTGATCCGCCGATTGCCTTCTAGCTACGTTTGTGCTAGCGAAAATGAGACAACCGGAGCAATATGAAAGCGATCAATGAGATATGAAAAAAAAATAATTGTAGGCTGCACGTATCAAACGTAGGTTCCCGGTTTTAAACAAAAAATGCTTGTAGGTATGGTGCCTTGGTGAATATTGATTTTTGCAGAGAGTTATGAATCTAAAGTTCAGTTCTTGTATCACTTCTATGCAAGTTTGTCACTTATAATACGAATCGTTATCACCAGGCTTTACGATTAACTTTTAATTTGTTTAGTCGTGTGCAGTTTTGATCTACATGTATTCTGTTTTTCTATGCACAGTTCAAACAGACCGAGCTTCGATGACAAACGAATCTGATGTAACTCTGGGTATTCTCTGGATACACAGTGATGTGAAGTCATGACAGTTTAACAGACGATCGCAAGGAAGGAATAAAGGACATAATCCTCTGCGACCAGAGAACTTACTGATCCAGTGATGCCGTGAGATATTTACAACTATGGATGATGCGAATCAAGAGATCCACGAAGCAGTGTTGCTGGGTAATCTTGAAGCCGTAGAAAGTTTGTTAAAACTTGGTTTAAACATAAATCAAACAAACCTAAATGGATACACGCCGTTACACATAGCGCTCAAGTATGGCCGGGAGATTATCATCGAGTATCTCATAAACCATGGAGCTGATCTGGAGAAGGCGACTCCAGATGGACAAACGCCCTTACATCTTGCTGCATCACTCGGACGTCTTAGCGCAACGAAATGTGTACTCAGCCATGAAGCTAGTATGGACAAAGAAGACAAGGACGGCTTCTCCGCATTATACAGCGCTGTAATGAATGGTCATCTTGATATAGTACGATACTTTATCAGTCAGGGGTCAAAAGTGAATCAGTGCAATACTAAAGGCTGGACTCCTTTCTACATTGGAGCAGGGTACGGTAAACTTGATGTAGTAAAATATCTCATGAGTCAAGGAGCTGATGTGAATAAGGGAGATAATGACGGTACGACTGCATTATCCGCTGCTGCTCATGAGGGTCATCTTGATGTCACCAAATATCTCATCAACCAAGGAGTTGAGGTTAATAAGGGAAATAATGACGGTAGGACTGCATTACACAATGCTGCACAGAGTGGTCATCTTGATGTCACCAAATATCTCGCCAGCCAAGGAGCTGAGGTGAATAAGGGACAGAATGACGGTTGGACTGCATTTCAAATTGCTGCTCAGGAGGGTCATCTTGATCTTACAAAATATCTCGTCAGTCAAGGAGCTGAGGTGAATAAAGAAACTAATGACGGTTGGACTGCATTAAACGCTGCTGCTCGGGATGGTCATCTTAATGTCACCAAATATCTCGTCAGCCAAGGAGCTGAGGTAAATACGGGAAATAATCACGGTAGGACTGCATTACACAGTGCTGCTCAGAAGGGTCATCTTGATGTCACGAAATATCTCGTCATTCAAGGAGCTGAGGTGAATAAGGGAGATAATGACGGTAGGACTGCATTACGCGATGCTGCTTTCAATGGTCATCTTGATGTCACCAAATATCTCATCAGTCAAGAAGCTGAGGTGAATAAGGCAGAAAATGGCGGTTGGAGTGCATTACACGATGCTGCTCAGGTGGGTCATCTTAATGTCACCAAATATCTCGTCAGCCAAGGAGCTGAGGTAAATACGGGAAATAATCACGGTAGGACTGCATTACACCTTGCTGCTCAGGAGGGTCATCTTGATATAGTACGATACTTTATCAGTCACGGGGCAAAAGTGAATCAGGGCAATACTAAAGGCTCGACTCCTTTATACATCGCCGCAAAGCACGGTAAACTTGATGTCACCAAATATCTCGTCAGCCAAGGAGCTGAGTTGAATAAGAGAAATAATGACGGAAGGACTGCATTACACGCTGCTGCTCAGGAGGGTCATCTTGAAGTCACCAAATATCTCGTCAGCCAAGGAGCTGAGTTGAATAAGAGAAATAATGACGGAAGGACTGCATTACACGCTGCTGCTCAGGAGGATCATCTTGAAGTCACCAAATATCTCGTCAGCCAAGGAGCTGAGGTAAATACGGGAAATAATCACGGTAGGACTGCATTTCAAAGTGCTGCCAGCAAAGGTCATCTTGATGTCACCAAATATCTCATTAGCCAAGGAGCTAAGGTGAACAAGGGAAATAATGACAGTAGGACTGCATTACTCGGTGCTGCTTTCAATGGTCACCTTGATGTCACCAAATATCTCATCAGTCAAGGAGCTGAGGTGAATAAAGGAGATATTGAGGGATGGACTGCATTACACGTTGCTGCTCAGAAGAATCATCTTGATGTCAACAAATATCTCATCAGTCAAGGAGCTGAGGTGAATAAAAGAAATGATAACGGTCAGACTGCATTACACGTTGCTTCTCAGGAGGGTCACCTCGATATCACCAAATATCTCGTCAGCCAAGGAGCTGAGGTGAATAGGGGAGATAATGAGGGATGGACTGCATTACACGTTGCTGCTCAGAAGAATCATCTTGATGTCAACAAATATCTCATCAGTCAAGAAGCTGAGGTGAATAAAAGAAATGATGACGGTCAGACTGCATTACACGTTGCTGCTCAGAAGGGTCATCTTGAAGTCACCAAATATCTCGTCAGCCATGGAGCTGAGTTGAATAAGGGGAATAATGTAGGTAGGACTGCATTTCAAAGTGCTGCCAAACTTGGTCATCTTAATATCACCAAGTATCTCATCAGTCAAGGAGCTGAGGTCAACAGTGGAGATGATGATGGTTGGACTGCATTACTCGGTGCTGCTTCCAATGGTCCTCTTGATGTCACCGAGTATCTCATCAGTCAAGGAGCCGAGGTCAAGAACTACGAGAGTGATACGGGTTTGCTTTTTAAATTGAAATTAATTTCATGTTCCATTGCGAAGCAGCAAACCACGAATGATGTTAAAGGGATGCGGTAACATTGTTTAGATAAGTGAAAATGGTGCTAAGGTAGTGACCTCAATGTTTAGATGTACAATCATAGATAATCTGAAATTCTAAGTGAAATCAGACCAATATTATTGATTTATTATTATTATTATTATTATTGTTATTATTATTATTCTTTTTTTTTTTGGGGGGGGGGGAGTTTCCCATTGACGCCTTCAAATCAAAATCTTTGTGGTTTGAAAATTTTTCCAGGATATTTTCGCATGTTAGAGGTTTGATCAGTAGAAGGAATACAATAAGTAAAATTTCATAAAAAGTTAGGCATGTTTTCATCAACCGGCTTCAACAATATTACCGGTTCACTTTAAAGTAAATTGCTTTCCAACAGCCTATTTTCTAACATCGGGCAAATTAATTATAAATATTTTTAGCGCAAATTTACATCGTTGGAGGTACTTGAGAAGGAGCTATTATTGTAAACATCTAAAACTTAAAGAAGTAGTGTGAAGTATCAGGTTTGCAACGTTCACTTCAAATTGTTTTGCTATCTGTGTTATTTATGGATGTTTCCATTTACTGTACGACTATTTTCTGACCCACTTGACACACTTTATTCTGACCCACTTTTTTCCCATTCGTTTTCTATACAGAGGCATTTTCATGAGAAAATGAGGTACTGTGATCGGCTTTTTGCTTAGTGAATATTCATGACATGAGCGCGGCCATCTTCAATTTTTCTCAAAAGCTGAAGTGTTTTAGGGGCTAAATTTACTAGTGCTTATAATACATCCTCAGGGGCATCGAAATCAAAATTGTAAAGAATCGCTATCCAGCCATTTTAAAAATTTTCCAAAACTTTGTATTACCTTTAATATTATCTTTTCCCATTTCCAAAAAGCATGTGGATTGACAAGACTAGATTTCCCTCGGAAAATAGAAGCAGCGCAAGGGCCCTCAGGAGGACAGACACGGGAGCCTACATCAACCATTGACCAACCTCTTATAGGTGACAAGTCCTCCAAGAACCAAGGTAATGTGGCAAGTGAAGGTAAAACAATTGTCAGCTTATTCAAATATGATATGCGTTGCCATTCAATGAGACAGTTTTCGATAGAGAACTCTAAAACAAGTACGTACGGATGGCACTGTATCGTCAAAACGCGTTGATATGTTGAAAGTATGATCGTTTTAAAAATTTGGTCGAAGATAAATATGAAAACAGGACAAATAGTGCTTTTGGCCTAAACTGAGACATCAGCAGATAATGTTCTGCTCCTTTACCTAGTTAAGGTTATACACGATTTAGCCGTCAACAAAAATTACCCATTATTTAATTGAGCCGTGGACACGAAGGAATGGGGAATAGAAGAGAGCTAAGTGGAAGAATAACGGAGGCTCATTCCCTGGGTAAAGATCGACGACGAACGTATTTGAAGTACATTGTATGTAGAAGTAATTGACAACTTTTGCTGGATACTAAATGGCTTTAGACAAGGAAATTACGCATTCTCCCTCAAAACATTAGGTGACCTGCATACAAGCATTTAGCAAACCTGCAACAGCCGGTCTAAAAGTTTGTTTTGCCTGGTCCATAATTATATTAATCTTATTCGTTTATTACAACCAAAACAAATACAAACAGATACATAACAATGGTAATAATAATGTACACAATGAAACAGTAAAGTATGAAACATGAAATACATGACTAACAATGTTAACTCATGATACAATATTGCCTCATGATTGTGGCACACAAACCTAATACGCACTCACCGCACCTTCATTTGTTTATGTGTGCGCATATGGGTGTGTTTGGTCTGAGGATGAAGATTGTAGTAATGAGTAGAATTGTGATGACGATGGTTATTATGATGACAGTGATGCTGATACCTCAGTCACATCAATGACACCGACACCAGACCGATGATAAACCGAACAATCGATGATATTACACCTAATGGCTAAAATAGGTCGGTTTGGGGTCGGTCTTTAGAAAGGTCTGCCGGTGTGACAGAGGTATGATGGTGGTAGTGATAGTGGTGATGATGTTGACTGTGTTGGTGATGATGGTGTTGGCGGTGGTGAAAATGATGATAATGATGATTATGGCATTGATTATGGTGATGATTTTGGTGATGATGGTGATTGTGATAATGTTGATGATGGTGATCATCGTACAACTCTAAAAAACATGCTGGTCATGATGACAAGTAGATTAAATAATCTTTTACATATGAGAAAATTAACAAATTTTGTACATTCCACCATCTTTTATTTTTCAGTTGGCAAGAAAGTGCACTGGGAGTTTTTGACAGACAGTCCTCAAGAACTTACCCTTCAAGATAATGAAGTAGTAATATCATGCGGCATCAGATTCTCGCCTTCTGGAGCCAAGCTCAGCGAAACTATCAAGGTCACATTGGACCATAATGCACATTTCACCAATCCAAGACGTGCAGAGATCGTCTTCTACACCCGCAACAAAGGTCTGGGGCAATTACCACGGGGACCTGACAAAAGCTCCTGCGACAACAATTGTTCCGCGCTTTATTTCGTTAAAGTTATAGGCAGATGGGTAGGGTAGCAATTGAGTTCCAGATTAGGTATAGGGTTGGGGATATGGTTAGGTGTTGTGTTAATTTCATGGTTAAAGTTAAGGATATTAAAGCGGAGCAATATTGTCGCAAGAGCAAGTATCATATAACATTAACCGCAGTTCAAATGCCTCTTTTATCTAACAAACGAAAAAAAATGGACATTGGAATATAACACTAAATATAATTAAAATTATCGTTAAAATTCAAAATAGTAACAAATTCATGTCACCTTCAGTATCCTGAAGCACATGCCCCCTGTTCGCCCCTCCACCCCCCCCCCCCAAAAAAAAAGAATGGTGGGAATAGGAAGAAGAAAACTAATTGGCCGATGACCCTTGTTCTACTCCATAGTGAAAGTTGATGCATACATATATGCTGTCTCTAAATAATTTGATGGATTATATATATATATATATATATATAGGCGTGAAGAAAAAGGTCTAGGAACATGAGACGTAGCTGTACTTTACAAGTTTATTACGAGCTTTCGGCTTGTGAGGTCTTCTTCAGGTTCTTGCTTGTGTGTTGGGCTGTAAAGCTATGTCTCACGTTCCTAGACCTTATAATATTTATGTTATTAATTTCGTTGCTATAGACTCAACAACTTTTGTGAGAATTCCCGCATCCACCAACGGTTGTCCACGTTGTGACGTCAGATCGAAGGACTTGGATCTATATGTAGATCATTTCAGTGATTGGTGGATTGTGGCCTTAATCAAACGGTACTTCGTCGGAAAGAGGGTCGAGTGCACGCCATATGTACAACCACCTGTCACGAAAGGATTAACGCACTTAGTGCTACTCTGCATATATGATGATCTCGTTGATGTCATTAAGGTGAGACACAGATAAGGGCGTTGGGCGGCTTGGGCCGTTGTATATAATTTTAGGTGGGGGGGGGGGATGGGTGGTGTGTCGGAGCACATATTCCAGCAAGTAATTCGAAAATTTACCAACATGCAATAAAAGGTGGTCCTCAGATTTTCGCATTTGCAGCCAGATATTCTACAAGATTTTGTAAACAGGCAAAACAAAAAATGAAGTTAGAGAACGAAGTCTTTCGTCTACGGCTGATTGTCAACGAAACGGAGTTAAGTCTTTTGTTAATTCCGTTTGTTGCTACGGCAGGCAGCCAGTGAAAACGAATTCGTTTAATAAAATTATGGAAATGCAAGCACTACTTTAAACAAACAGAACTTTGTTATTCCTAGCTCATTTTTCCTGACTAAGTTGTCATATTAAAGGGCAGAAACTCAACTCTCTGGAAATGTGATTTATTCTTTGAAATTCAGATACCGTCCGCCAAATGACTTTTTGGTTTCCTGTCTTCAAATTCATCTTAATCACTCATGCGTGAAATATGCATCATATAAGTTGCATCAAATGAAAGAAGAGGATCTAAGCTTTACGAATATGTGTCATTTATTAATTATAATTGTGATTAAGATATGATAAAACATCGATAATTCTCGGTTTCGTTTTTTCTGGGACGCACTGTATATATATAAAAGTGCGAGAATTCTCAACTCTGACATGACAACGGATGTTCCAGAATATGAAGGCATGAACAAAATATATATATATACGAAGAAAGAGAGAGAGAGAGAGATTGATAGGGGCTGATTTTTACCATACATTATGTTTTGCTCCAACAGAAAACAAACGAAAAAATGAAGAAGTACAGAATGCTCTATCCACCCCAGCAAATGTTCGTAGAATGGAGGTGCGGCGATATCAATATTGGGTTATTCGACGGCTCAAAGGAAAATGAAAAGAAAGTTGGCGAAATGGTATGTTCTGTATTTCAAAGCTAGGGGTGTATGGATAGTTACAGAAAATAGGCAATTTTTGTAATGTAATAACATTTAATTCAAAAGCCTAATGTTTGTCCTACCTAGCAACAATTGGAGTATGCAATTCTTATACTGACTAATAATGAGATATAATTATTTGTAATACAGTAGGTGAATGAAATAGTTTATTACGAGTCACATAACAAAGATTCTTGTATTGAATTTCATAAATTACGAAAATGGACGATTGTAAGGATTTCATTGTACTGTCGATTTTCGTCAATGACTTGTCTTCGTTCGCGTTCTGAATTCTTATTACGTTAACTACTTTCGTAAATGTCTTGTTTCTGTTTGCGTTCTGCGTTCTGCATTCTTCTTCTTTGTCTGCTCTGAATTTCATGCTCCATAAAAATAGCACTCTCTCAAGTTCTGAAAATGGATTTCTTTCTGTGGCCGTAAATCCATCGTGTCTCGCCAAACTCATACCATTTTATGGATTTAAATACTTTAAAGTTAGCCCTTTCCAGTCAATTCAAAAAATATATGCCTTATCACTAACCGACTTGCCCTCCCAATTTCCAGTTTTCAAAAAATTGCCATCATGCTAAAAAATTGCGATCTTTATACCGACGTGAATGAAACTTGGTAGACGTTTGTATTTATTACATTTGAAAGCTGACTTGACGTCATCACACAGTTATGGCAACAAAAATTATAAAATGACGACATCGCGAAGTCATCGCCAAAAATGATGAATTTACTATGCATGATATAACAACCGGTTTAATGCTTGCCGTACTTTGAACACACATAACAATGGTGTTCACATGACCGCAATGACATGCCATTTCGAATGATACCAAATACGGTATATGTTTACACGGAAAACTTTAAGTAAATCGCATTTGAACAAGGTTTTCCATCCAATCATATCACGTATCGGCTTTCACGTCATTTTTCAGAACTCTTTTGCTTCCTTTCCAATCTTGGTTTTCCTTGAAATTTTGCAAACATATTGTTGGTGGCCAACGCAGAGCATTTTGAAATCGGATTTTTTTAAAATATGTCAAGTGGGCCAAGAACACACACACGCACAGCAGCCAACCACACACGCACCCTTAAAACACATGCACATAATTATGCACACCCGCTCTCATTTGCCATCAACATGGGAATGGGTCTGATAAAGGAAATTTGTATAGCGTTATTGAGTAAGTACATTCCAATCACAATGGTTCTAGGTCAAAACACAATTCTAATATTGTTTTTAAATGTTATTGTCAAATTTATTTATAATATTTACTAATCCTTTCGCCTATTTTCATTTATTTGAAACGAAAAATTATTGAGTAAAACCTTATGATATATGATTTCATGAAACTAAGAAAATACATTGCAACGTAATTACTCACATTTCCCCTCTCTATCTCTTTCTCGCCTTCTTATTTTCAATTATTATATACCTAGGCATGATTATGCGATTTATATACCATTACAAAATATTCTTGTTTCATTTAAAGTGTGTGGTGATGTTTAAACTTCAGGTTATGCTTTTCAAGTTGTTTTTTAAAGAAAAAATAAAGTTTAATTTCCTTGAATTCATTCTTCTTTTATTATAGATACTAGGTAAAAGGGATATGAACCTCGTTGAAAGTAAACAATTCTCTTTTGAAGTGAAGCCACTCGAGTCAGGGGCAAGCCAAAGGTTTCTCGAATTTACCTTGGATCAAACAGAGTCTCCCTCTTATCCTACCCTGATTCATTTCAACTTGTCATATGATGGTACGTATGATGGCGAGACCACAAGCTAAACACTTTGATCTGAAAGTCTAAAAGTCCTCTAATTCCGTAGTTTTATGACAATGTCTTGTGGAACTTGGTTGACTTCTGAGAAAATTTACGAATGACAAATGTCGATAAAGTACGTGTTCCATTTGAATAACTTTCGATTCCCGTTAAAAGTTTGTTAAACAAAATTAAAGGGTTTCATAAGCTACCCACACGTTATAACACAAATGCAATTCTTAACTTTGCGGATACTATTAATTGTGAATTTCAACCTCAATTTGAAACTATTGACGATCTAAATGTGTATCAAAGGGAATATATATTTGGACAGGATTACCTTTTAAATGCCGTTAATTAACTTATTTTAATGGGATCCTAGGGATAATAGATATGTATAAATCTTACTTTATTTTGGTCATATATAAATGTAGAAAAAAAGGAAAAACATTAACAAAAAAAGTTAAATATTATGACACCCAAAACATAATATATACTAACATTTTTCTTTAGCATAAATAATCTTTATAGGCATATAACGAGAAAAATTCCGCATTATCCTTCGCGTAAAGCCCGTGATGAATGACTGAATACCGATTATGATGATAAACGCATATACATACAAGAGTATATTTTATTTTGGTACAGTGTATTTCAAACATAATCATAAAATGATACATTTATTTGTCTACAGTTAATACTCTCTTAGTTGATATCACTACACAGGTATACACGTAATCTTAACATGAGTGTGTCTTTAAAGGAGTAGTGCCAGTTTAAACGGGATTTAGTCATTCAAATACGTATACAGTAGATCAGGCATTTGGAAGAGTGCAGGACCAAAAATAAAAGAAGCAAACCTCCCCCATAGCATCTCTTAAAGAATAGCAATTATGAATACTATAGTCTTCGAAGTTGTATCCTAAAATTGCTTTAAGACCATGCAGTCTTTAACTGGTTACACTCTATTTTCATGACATTGACCTGAATGGACCTGACCTTTATTAATTCACAAACTCACATATCGTTTTCTTATTTTGAATGATGGTAGCAACAGCAAACGTGGCAACAAGAACAGCAGCAGAAGCAGAATTCTGTGACATGGATACCACATCACAATCAGCAGGGGTGTCAACGCTATCAGGGTATGTAGCCAATCTATAATATATTATTTCAAAGAGCAGGCTGAGCTCTGGGCCCTGTTTTACAAAGAGTTGATATCAATCACAACTTATTTGCGGTTGATATCAATCGCAACTATGTACATAAGAGATAGGAGACTGCAAACGTGCGATTAATTAGAGGACTTGCGATTGACCAAAATCAATCTCACCTGTTTGTTAGACAGGGCCCATGAAAATAAAAAGCACTTTGTGAGCGTTCTCAATCTGTGTATGTCGGTTTGATGAATATCATGGTAGAAATCATGCATGAAACTGTTTGCTCTTCAAATGCCCCTTTTACTTGAAATATTACAAGAAATAACAGAAAGGTTTGAACAACATATTTGTCCGAAGTGCATGTGTTTTCAGCAAGAATTTCTTTTGATCAATCCCAAGGCTTTCAGATACTCAAGAAGAAATCTCGAAAATGATTCCAAGAGGGACACTTGAAAACACCATACCAAAAACTATGGCCAATTTCGGCCCGCGCCGCGACTTCACTGTTTATTAAAAGCACGTTTCCTTTCTCGTTCTGTTGCAAGTTCACTTCGTAATCTACTTATGTAAATATTTTAATAATACAGTTTCGAAGAGTTAAGATGTATTTCTTCCCTGGGGAGTGAACTAAAAAGAATCAGTAACCTTTTTGTCTCAGCATAATACAATTATAATTCTTAAATTTCAGTCCATCAGATGAACAGAAAGTGACAGATAAGAATATCCTGAAACTAGCAAGGCTTCTACCACCTAATCAGTGGAGCCCTCTTTACGTTGCTCTTCGCATCGATTACAGCACCGCTGAAGGTATCAAAGAGAAGTCTAAAGAGATAACTGAACAGTACATACACCTCCTTCAAAAATGGAAAGCTGCATCAACTCGGACCAGAAAGGATTTAAATGCAATCCTCATCCAGATAGACGCAGGAGGACTTGTAGACAAGTACGTGGATTAGGTGTATTCTGTGTAACATTCGCAGCATGATAACTTTTTTTCCTATCAACTATGTGGGCTAAATATCATAACGCGAACTTGTAGGTGTTGCGTAAGCCACCATGTTTGTAAAAATGTATATATTCTTTTTATTTGTTAATACGT